AAATGCATCCATACGGACAAAGGAAGATGCATCTATTATCCGCAGACTCTCACACAAACCTCCTATAGGTTTCCCTGCGTCGCTTCCTAGGTGGCCCCTTTTCCTAACTCGCTAAAATATTGTATAACAATGAATTCAGAATACCAAAAGTATGTCTAGAAAAGCATCAGACACTAAGCAATCTATATGCGACTTAATGATGATGCTTACAACTAACAGGATGGGCCTTATAACCAGCTCAAGTAAAATATCGAAGAACCAGAACGAGGTATGGTTTTAACCAACATTGCTTTTTCATTGGAGTATAGGATTAAGCAGACGTTCTTCTTTTTAATTTCCCAGCACTACAGATAACTCTTTACGTATTGCAGCCTATCAGGGATATATATATAAAGAACAAGGCAAACTCTCAATCAAGACACTGATAACTTTAAAAGAACCTACAAAGGATTTGTCGCGAAAGTTCATAGGTCCAGTTAAGAAATGTATTGTAGCTATTCTCAGTACGGGAGAGAGGCTCACCTAGTTCGTATTTACTATTTAGAAGATCTTCCTTAAATCAGACATTATCTCCATTCACATGATAATTTAAAATAATCACAATATTGCGCTGTAAAGTGTATCCTACTACAACAAAAAGTATCGTGAAAATAAAGAGCCGCATAACATATTCTCCCCATATCCATCCGTAAAATGCCTTTATCCAAGTAGTAGTTCCCTAGTCTGCACCTTCCAATAACTACGGATGCAGTGAAACGAACGGAAAGATATGGCTGTCTGGCCCAAAGTGTTTAAAGTGACAGATCCTTGTCAGGGCAGGGAAATGTATTTGGGCTGACATAGAGCCCATACCTGAATCCTTCCACGGAACGAAGCACGCAGGTCCCGGACATACTGCACGTATATCGCAGTACACGGACGTATTGAAGCTTAGGGCAGATACAGGATATATCCATAAGCCAATTTAGAGGGTCCCGGAAGGACACTGCGAGTCAAACACTTTGTGCGCAATATAGCTCCCCTCGTCTCAAGGTGTTCCCTCAACTCTAATACTAACCAGTCCAGTCCCATATACGCAGTTATAGCTGGCGGCCTTAAGAGCATATCAATAAAATATACCTCCACGCAAGGTATCCAATGAATCGAATGCAGAATTCAATTTTTGATTGGTCGCACTCCGATCACCTAATCCCTCCTCAATCCTGAGGACTCACTGATTCATTTTCGTCCTGATTGTCTTCGAACGTCCAGGGTGAGGACGGAACCCGGTCATCGTACGGAACGGACTGCTGATTGTCATTCCGATAACCCTGACTGCTGTCCTCGTTGCTGTACTGCTGACTGCTCTAGAGCTGCCCACTATTGCCCCGTCCATTGCCCTGGGGCTGTTCCCCGCCAAAAAAACTGCGAGCCAGTTGACTGCTGGATTCCGTATTGCTATTCTGCACGTAGATTTGCAAGGAGTTTATCTCAGATATTGGGTAATTACTCCATGGCTTTCCAGAAATCAGGCCCTGATTTCTGCTGCTCCCAGGTTTCTTTCGTGTACTGTTCATAGGCTTCTTTTCCCAGACATTGTTCTGTGTTAGTGAGGCACATGACCCATGGCTGGGTCTGGGTAGACGCGTCGTATTAATGAAGTGGCTAACGTAGCTGTAGCGCTAGAGCTCTACCTTTGTGATCAGGATGCTTTCAAGGCTAAATCTAGTGAGGAATTCAATGGGCATACTATTCCTATCCCCAAGTCTTATAAGAGGCTGTCAATGATCCTACCTATGGAGTTAAGTGGAAGAAGCAATCAAGCTCAAGCTGGATAATCTGATTCAATTTGGGAGCTGGAGATATATCAAAAGGCCTAAAGGTCAAGCTGTGATATCAACCAAATGGGTCTTTGATATCAAACACTCAGCTGATGAACGAATTGATTAACTTATAGCTCGCTTAGCGGCACGAGGCTTCTCCCAACCGGGAGGATTAGATTATGAAGATACATTTGCCCCCAGTTATTCAACCGGAAAGTCTTCGGGTCCTATTTGCTTTAGCTGCAACCTATGGCCTAAAAGCACATTTGCTTGATGCAGCAAATGCCTACATTGAGTTAAAGATAGATAAGCAGATCTATATGGAGATCCCGGAAGGAATCAGTTCTAATTCCTATAATCCAAATGATGTATGTGAGATCTACAATTATTCTACGGTCTTCAACAACCTGCCTATCTCTGGGATCAAAAGGTCAAGAGATACGTCACCTCAATTGGATTCCAGCAAAGTACTGCAGATCCTGGAGTCTTTACCAATGACCGGGGGTCAATATAGCACTCTATGTGGATGATACCTTGATCTTCGGTAAGGATATTAAAGATATTGAATCCACTAAAATCATCTAAAGTGCTTTGACCCCTTGCATAGGAGATATTGGGAATACAGATAACCCGAAACAAGGACTCTATTCAACTTGACCAAGAGTACTACGCACGATCTAGTTTCGAGGATTTGGAAAGACTGAACCAACAAACAAGCTATCCCACTGGTATTGATCTGGATGATAGATCATCTAAGAAACTCGCCCGTGATCTGCATAGCAAAGTCAGAAAGATTATCAGATGACCAACATACGTAGCTGGTGGTACCAGACCAGACATTCAGCTTACCGTCAACCGATTGAGTCAGTACCTTGCAGTCCCGGAGATGTCCATCTCAGATCTTCAAAACAACTCCTGCGCTATATTAAAGGAACCATGACCTATGGTATCACGTACAGCGCAAAGGGGAGTGAGAAGACACTAGTGGGCTAATAAGATTCTATTATATGGGAACGCCACGAACCACTGCTCAACGAGTGCTTATGTGTTCATGAGGGCAGGTGGACCGATTAGTTCGTGTAGCAGGATGCAACCTATCACTGCTATGTCTACCACCGAGGCGGAATATATTGCAGCTGCGGAGGCATCAAAGCAGGCTATCTGGGTCAGACACTTCCTAGCATGTATCCGGAAGTATCCCAAAGAGCCAACCAATATGGGGATTCATGGCAAAAGCACTTTACCAACCCGATTGGGAATTGACAATCAAGGTGCTCTAGTGTTAGCATCTAACCCGGTCAATCACCTATGCAACAAGCGTATTTGTGTACGATATCATGCAATTCGAGACTTTATTGAGCATGGTAATATCAAGCTATTCTACGTCCCTACATCCGAAATAGCTGCAGATGGACTGACCAAGGCAACTAAGGCTGATAGCTTAAAGCAATTGATCAGAATGCTGCAGCTGGAGTTGAAAAATGTCTTACGATACAACATCAAGGTCCTCAAAATGATAAGATAAAGGCGTTCAACACCCCGCTACATCCGCCCTACGTATTTGCTTTATTTCCCATTTAGGAAGCTACAATAGCTTCATTCCATTCGTTTCGGGGTATTGAACGAAGGGGAGTCATGCGAAATGTCAAATAAAATGGCAAAACGTGACTACGATCATGTGATTTAAGAGGGGTAAAAACAAGGCCCCGAATGCAAGAATCATACAAGAATCATAGATCATCAGAATCATCAATATTATCAATAAGAGCTCAAAATGCTCTAGAGTTGATCTTTAAGACGTTTTATATATCGTATCTTACCACATATTCGGGACTGACCGAATATCTGACAATTCATATCATTATCAGGCTTTCGTAGTAAGATGCCCTTAGCTGTCTTTCATGCTTGCGGATGTAGGCCCAGCCTAAAGTATTGGCCCACCATGTAGGTTATTCTCAGTCTAATAGGTCAGCGCTGTAATAGAGATGAAACGTGACTGTGACAAGAATTGTTTTATGACTGAAAATAACCAATCCTTTGGTCATAAACACTGAGAAGCGGCAATCTACGGTTGACAAATTCTAGAACCCAACAGAGCGATGGGGCAGCAGCCTAAAACCTGGGCGCTCGCAGGGCTCTTATCCTACATCGAGCACAAACGAATATATATATTTTTCACAGTGAATACTTGTAAAATTTAGACCGGGATTGGTTTAACTGGTAAAAAGCGGGACTTGTAACCAGTCCTTCAAAGTCACATGAATCTTGCCCGGTTTTTGGAAAATCGAATGCTTCCATTGAAAAATATTCAAGATCATCCATAGTACAAGTGCATAAAGCCGCCGCCAAATCCCACTCGCGATAGCTAGCGTCGTATATTGCGTTTTTTTATTCCTCGGGCAAGTCTTGTGATTAAAACCCATCTGTATTTGACAATTTTCAGCATGAGTCAAAGTCAATGCGCTTCTAATGGCTCCGCTAGCTGGGTTTGGAGAGTGTGAGTGAAATCCTATGAAAGTCCTTTTTATGTTATTAAATCCTAACCCTCTGGACTTTAGATGCTTTTTCTTGCTTCTAGTGTCTTATATCCCTTCGCTCCGCCATTTTATGCATCGAAAATTCATTTCTGCCCATGACGCTTATGGCATAGCTTGGGGCCAGCTTGCAAGTAGCGCCCTCCTTGCACATGCCGTCGCAGGATCCCACTGTCTCAATCAGATCGGGAATAGACGCGACAAGGCTTCGATATTTAATCATTGCTTGCTTATAGAACCATTGCCGCTGATGGCGATAGCATACTGGATCGGCCTGCAGATTATGTAAAGAATCACCCTCAGCCGTTTGGTAGCGATTGTTCTTCCTACTCAACGTCTTTTATTTGTCTATCTACTGATCTTACTCACATCATATAGGTTCTCTATCATCGTTGTGCGATGGTTTCATGGCCGAATCGTGTACAGTCCCAAGCATTGGATTCTGCCTCACTCTCCTCTTTTTACCGAGATATCATCCGGCAATGATTTCATGTATAGAACCATATTATTTATCTGCCTAGCCATTAGCGGTACACTAATTTATGGATCCACCGCTTATTCGGGTGCCTCTCAACGGTCAGGCTCGGGCTTTATCCAATTCATTATATTCGAGGCTGTGAGTTCGGTCATTGGATTATTGGCAACAATAGGCCAATATGTGTTACAAACCTTCGCTGTTTGCCGGCAAGGAAAACCTATGGGAAGCCAAGAACTGTGGGCTCTGGGCACTCAGTCTTCTGTACTATGGTTATGGTCTGTTGCAATATTGATCTGCCGTGTGTCTTGTCAGGAGCAGAGAACTAGGGACGAAGAGTTCACAAGCATTATGATCCCAGTGTATCTTGTCGTTGGTACCTTACAATCTCTACTGATTGGCGTGCATCTATCTCTAGTAAAGGCCATCCCGCACCACCTGCACCATCGCTTGGGGATGGATATTATCTCGAGATAGACTGTTGCGGGCTGCATATGAGTGTTTCAATGGATATGGGTCATTGTCTTACCGTCAAGCTTATTTAAGGTATAAGAAAACCCGCGCTTCTGATGCCATGCATTTGTCTTTGCTAATGATGACTGCAGGTCAGTCCACTTTATTTCTGCAGTATAGTTTAGCGGAACCGCTTTGAGGCGATCAAGAAGCTGGTTTAGGCTAGGCTGGATAACATGTGCAAGACATGGAGTTCGGATAAGATTAACATTATCAGATAAGGACTGCTGAAGAGAATCACCTAATGTTTTATTATTTGATACATTATCAGTTGTTATTCCAAAAACTCAGTCCTGAATTTGAAGCTCTGTAAGTGTTTCAAGAAGAACACTAGTTAGTTTTCAGCCTATATATGATCCATGAAGGGGCTTAAATCCAAGTACTTCCTGATGTATCCAGTCTTTATTAATAAAATAGCCAGTCATAGCCATAAATGCCTGGTAAAAACGAGAAGTCCAATAATCAAGCACAATAGATATCGTTAAGCCTGAAGAAAGCATCTGAAGGGGATTTTACTGGCGGTCCTTAACAAGCATCTCTAGCCGGCGACGTATAGTTCTTGTAGATGAATCAGAGAAGTAGGCAGTGCAGTACAGGCCAGTTGGATTAAGCTTATAAAAGCTAAATGCACAATTAGATGAAAGGGAAGTCGATTAATTAAGGAAAATAATAAGATCTTCTCTTCCCAAGCTTCTTGCGAGAAGGAAATATTGGTTAGGGTAGGCTCCAAGTAAAAGAAAATTATCTAATTATCAAGACAGAAGAATAGGAATGGGATATATCTCTTTTTTAAAGAAATCTTATTAGTTCTCCCTTCTGCCTATTCTCAAACTTCAGACAGGTAGCAGTCTTTAGGTGCCTCGTCGTAGTTATTGTACCATAACGCTCTTCCTTTCCATCCTTCTTCCTGGAATAGGGATGCTCAAGAACCTGGCCGCAACATTTATACATAACATTTGGTGCACCATCTACAGTATGTGCAACCTGATCACAGTGCTTCCAAATATCTGAAAGATAGTTTGAATCCCAACTTATCCTACTAGTTGACCCGTAATCAGTCTGTAGCCGCCAGTCCATCCATTCACTATGGCTCATGATGTTGTAAGTACGTATGCCTTTCTTCTATCGGGCCCAACACGTTCGAGAGGGGAAGGAATTGTAAGAGGAATAGCCGGTCAGAGAAATAAAGGGTCAGTGATGTCAAATATCTGTTGGCTTCCAGATAGTGTAGCTGGGTGATTTGAAGAGGTAAAGTATGTTAGATTATCTGTTATGGGACTGACTTATAAGCAGCCTTATATCATGGGATAGTCTGCCTAAGGCCTCGATGCCAAGCCTTTACCCCACAAATATTTCGTACGATGCGTTATTTTCTATCAATTAGCTATTTCTTCTTGTTCAATAGGCACGCTTAGGTCAGAACAGTCTATTCGTCCCGTAACTTTATCTATCTCTTCATATATAAAGATGATGGAAAGTCGGACTGCTGGCTTTAGGACATAGCAAAGTAAGTATACAACAGATAAGAAAAAAAGGGACATTACAGGAGAAGATTAACTTAGCTATAATACTACAGTAGCTGAGCAAGCCTATATACAGATCAGAAGAAAACATAAAGCTAGTTGCTAATTGGATAGATATTAGAGGTTAAGTGATCAGACCCAACGAGACACAACGAAGCCCAGCAAAGCCCACCAGAACCCACTAATAACACTCCCGAGCCCATCAAAGCCCATCAAAACCCAGTAAAAGCCCACAAATAGCCCACTCCCAGCCCACTTGACCTTAGGAGTCCACAGAATTGTACTGAATCAGGCAAAGTGATATAAATATAATACAAAACCAAATTCACACAAAATTATATTTTCATATAACTGTTCAAACCTAGCATATAAAGAATAGAGAATCTTACTATAGGGAGTTAATAGGTTAAAGCTAAAGCAAGTATTTTTTATTGTATACCTTCTTCTCTCCAGAAAATGTGTCCACCCCCATCTGGGTTATATATATACTTCAGTGCGTTTATATCAAATTTATCCAGCTGCTGTGTTAGGCATATGGAGATAGTCACCATCGCTATAAACAGCTGCACTTGTCTTCATCGATAATAGAGGATATTGTCATTCTCCTAGATCAATGCAGAGATCCAATTAAAGGCAAGAGGTTAGAATCGAATGGTACGGACCTTCAGCAGATGCTTTGTAGAACAGATGAGGCCTCTAAGTTAGTAGCACGGAAACCATACAGACAGTGCGAGTTCTTGTTCTAGACCAGATGGCCCATTTTCTATAGCACCATCACCAACCTCTAGAGAGTACAAGGGCATGCAACTTCTGTATGTCTCATATCGAACCTGGAATCCGTTGTGGGCCGGGAGCTTCCCTAGGCTGTTTGGTAGCCATCACAAACATTCCCATTAGTCCGAATCCAAGTTAGGGCGGGTGATACATATCACCCCTAGCATGGCATTCCCCCAGAGCGCCGTAGGAAGTGGGAAGGGATAATGAAGAAAGCATAAAGAAGCCAATTTTCATGGTGACCGCTCGAGGAAGCTAGTACCATCATTCAGTGATGATTACTATCAACGGATGCATATCGAAAACGGACAATACAGACCCTCTAAGAACACTATCTTTTCCACAATAGTATTAACGAATACTCTGACTAGCTTACAGTGAAGCATATCCAGCTACCCTTAATAGGTCTACAAAGTCAAGAGCTTTGCATATTAGCGAGAATAGTAAAACTTCACAGCAAATGTTGAATCTATCTGTGCAAGACATAGTACACTAGTACAACAAGGATCACTGGTCATGATTGTTTTGCAGATGTTGAATCAGCCTATGCACGTCACTCCTCCGGATGTGTATATGTTTTCGCACCAAGGTAGATTTGCCATTGATGACCAACACAGATCAGCCCGGCTCCGAATACAGATCTCAGAAAACCAATACAAATTTTGACTAGCTCCATTCTTCTAACAAGCCTTATCAGGCTAAGAACTGGTGGAGCCAGACGAGATACGCTCCCATTCATCGGGGTATATTATGCGATTGGAATCGGTCGCCTGACTGGGAGAAGGTTCAGCTGATGAGCTTGGCTCTGGCTCTCTAGCGGCCAAGCATTCTTTCTCATCTTTGAATACTTCTCCTTCTTCTTCGGTGTATGGGTATTGGTTTTCAGCACAATACACCTTGGTCCCTAAGACCTCCTCACTGCCGCGATTGAAAGTTGTAAACTGAATACCTGTTGGGGCAGGATAGAATGGCTTCAGCGGGATGTGGGCAGTTTTCTATTTCCATAAAGTCAGCCCGATCATCGCGCAGCATGCACAGAAAAAATTTCCCGGGACACGAACTGTTGGAGTTGAACTGGAAAGCGGAGGCTCAGAGCCTGCTGCGTTCGGTGACGCGCCTTGTGGTGACTTCCTGGCAGCCAGGCACTGCTCGGGGCTCTCATAGAACTCGAAGAATTCCCGATATCGTTGGTCTTCACAGTATCGCTTGGTACCACAGTCTATCTCAGTGCCATCTCGGAAACAGAAATCGTAGCTGCCAAACCAACGTAATTTAGAATTAAGCGCCGTCGGCTGCGTCATCTATCCAGCTAGTTAGCTCAGGCCCGTGGTCCGTTGCTGCCCCTTATATATGGAGAGCCATCGCAGCATGCTCAGGTTATCTGGGGAGAAAGCAGGCTCCACGGAGTGTTTTGTCGGTTCCTTACAGCGTGTTTAAGCTTCCCTTGACAGTCACCTGGAAGGCCGTGAACCACGGCACGTATTAGCCCAGCGTAGTCAGAAATGCTTTCCTCTGACCCAATTAGGGCAAGAATAACCCGCTAGGCAATCTTAGCCTAAGTCACAAGTGCATTGCCCGCAGGGCCGCTTACCTGGGTCACCACTTCAGCTTGGCAGGTGTTATCCAACTGACCAACAAAAGAGTTGAACTTGCGCGTATACTACAAAGCATCGGTTAATACAGGGTACATTAATTATATTTCGGAGACCGGTCTTACCTCTTGCAAAGCTGCTGGCGCGTCATTGAGCTTCACCTTTTTGAGTTCCTCTTGCCGAGCCTGTAAGGGCTGGGCCGCCGTGAGCGCGAAGATGGAAGCACCAAAAGTTAACCACGCAAGATGCATTGTGTTAGATTGCAAGATAGTATAAGCTGGAGGGAATTGATTCTAGAAACTAACTTGCAGGCGCCGTAGGGGTTTTTATAGGATATTACGCTGCCTGCCAAGACAGGGGCGGTTCCTTTAGCTCCAAACAGAAATCCAAACGACGTCTACAAACTTTAGTAAACTATTTCATAACATCTATGGATATAGGGTAATGACAAGAGCAATGAAACGGCGTGAATCAAATCTTCCTAGCTACTGTGAACTTATAGAGTGGATGCTATGTTCTGTGGGCATGTATGATGTAGGCAATTACTATAAATGATCATAGACCAGAACTATCTTCTCGCTAACTGCGAGGTTGTTCTGCGGTTTCTGCTGGTAAAGAACGGGGGTGACGAACATGTGCCGTGTTCTAGACTAATCTTAATTGTAAGCTCCGCCTCTATTATGGGGCCATTTTACATAGTTTGTTACTATTAAACAGACCCTATTTTAAACGCAAGATAAACTGCTGGTAGGTCCCTACTCTATTCATAACGCTCGTAACAGGCTTAAATATTCCTGACTCAAACAAAGGTTTAATTCGCCTTGGCGCACCTGCATGTGCTAAAATACCTAACCCGTTTAGAGTTTGTTTATGGAGAGCACAAGTCTCAATAGAAAAAAGACTGTATATTACAGAGATGGCTCAGTGAATGAGAGGTGCCGAGCAGGTCTAGTCTGTTTGGAACGATTAGAAATAATACCAAGCTAGTGATGATTCTCAGTTCCTTAAAGGACCAGCTATAACTACCGGGGGGTAGAACCACTCATGTGACTTTGTTTGTGTGTTTTACCGCTAGACAGGAGAAGGCAATTTCTTGTGTTCTGTATGTAATATAGCATAATATAAGGTGGATTAGGAGGGACCAATGTAGATCAAGATCTGCATGTCAGACGGGTCATTCAGGACATGCTCCGCCGTCCAGATCCACACGTTTCCTAGATAGACCTTGACGGCACGGCTTGTTACATGGCCGGTGGTGTGGGTTGCCTGGCACTGAGCAGAGGGGCAGCGGACGTCGGGCATTGCGCGGCCTAGAGCCGAAAGTCGACGAAGCTGCCACTGCGGGCATGGATATCCCACATACCAGACCCTAGTAGTAACCTTGAGGTTCAACTTAACGAGAACCGCGCCAGGTGTCGATCCCTGTGTGTTCACCATCATGTCAGATCACTCGACGGATCCCAATAAACTGCAGCCTGTATCTGACATACCTAGCCAGGGCCTAGCGTTGGTTCAAAAGGATAATTTTCGGTTCCCTTGGAACTACCAGGAGCGCTTTCTCGGTCTGCCAGACAAGCCTGTGCAATGATCAACCATGGTATTGCGCTCCTTGGTCATTTGCGGCCGGCAGATACGTGACAGCCTCGAACAGCCAGGCGGTTCAATCAAAGGGTCATCAATCACAAACTCTTCGTCTTGGTATTATTCAGAAGTGGGGCGGTATAAAGGAACAAGGGGTTTATGGGACCTTACATTGGGGCTCGTCTATCAAGGGATTATGGGGATATTGAATTGGGTTAAGGCAACGGACGGGGCCAGGTCTTGGTGGTTGAAAGAGGCGTACAAAACTTTTATGTACTTCTATAGCAATATACCATTGTAACAAAACTAATTTAGTCTTTAACAATTTACTACTTCTTTACCGTTCTTTTGTTTACCTAGCAGACAAACCAGGCGGTTCAGACGTTGACGAAATTAACATTGAGTTATATGCTGCGTACAGACGCGAGGATTCATTGCCCAGCCCAAGCTCTTACGCTAGCCTCTTCTGAGAGCGCTTTCCCTTATTATCCCTTCCTCATTTCACTACCATGAACTAAAATCCAATGGAAAAGATTTCTTTTACGCCCTATGTTATAATGATCAGTATCCACTTCCACAGCCACTAAAGTAAGTGTTCTAGTCCGTACTTGGATACTGCATATGGATCCACACATGACTGTGTATAATGGCGGGTACCAGAAAATATGGCTCACTCCTCTCTAGACTAGGTAATTCCGCCTTTCACCAAGCACGCCTTACAAAGTTTCACAACATACAGCAAAAGTTACAGCAGCCCATTCCTAATTCAACTACCTATGTTAATCGCCTTGGTGAAATACTAATGGGTACAGTGTTGAATACTTTTAAGCTATAAGGTGGTAACAATAATGGAATTCTGCTATCGGCGATTAGGATGTTTATAGCCTCCTTTGCCGCCGACCGTAAAGGTTATCGTCAATGGATAGTGTATAAAATAGAGACCAGCAGGGTCATAAGTCAGTCGGAACTCCCTATCGGCTTTACTTCTGTTAACATGATTCGAGTCAACATGTGGAGAACCACAAATCCAAATAGCAACTGTTGGGCAATCGTGATGCTACAGCTGCTGCCCAGACCAGTCGTACGTTGCCAAGTCAAATAAAACCCAAAATTTTTGTCTAATCATCCCAGGTATATATTGCGGATAAAAGAGAGATGACAAATCCTCTCCCTAGCTTGTTTTGGCTCTTTCGTGGACCGAGCTGTATGGGTCTACGCAACCTTAATGTGGCGACTGTCTCCAGTGTGGGAGTAGGGCCGATTTTGCAACCTGCGCGGGTTTTGGGAATCTGGCTGGGAAATTTTTTTTACTACAGTTGCCTTATGTCTGGTTCAGAAGAACATTCTGGAACATTAGGCTTTGCTAAGTCAGACAACCCCAACTAGTGCCAAAAATTCCACATAAGGTTTGATTAACCTTGTTAACCTTACCGTGCTGTAAAGCTCACGTTACATTTGAGAAAGGTGTGGATTATAGGATAATGCGTTGCAAGCTCCGAAACTAAAATAAGCCAAGTATATATATTTTGGTTTTATTAGCCTTCGCATTCCACAGTGTAGCTTATGTGTAGTACACACGTAAATTTTTGCTCTGCTTTGAAACCCTTTCCTAGGGAAATATTTGTAGAAATTATATGAACTGAAAGTCTGTGGAAGTACATCCTTGTTTTAGACTAAATATTGAACTCTTGGCTAGAGCAAGAATCATAGAGAATATTAGACTTTTCCACGACAACTCTCATCCTTTGCCAATTATTGGCCTTAAACCACAATTGTATACCTTTGTCGCTGTCAATGCCTGCTGCCGCCATGCGTTTTCTCATACCCGTCGCGTACCTGGCACTTACAGTAGCTTCAGTTCCCCGCAGACAGCCGGTAGGGATGTGTATTAATTTCCGGATGCCCAAATCCATCAAGTATAGTTAAGTGCTGATAGATTTGAATGATGCCGCCAGGTACGAAACGAGATGATGAGCCCTCAATCCCATGGCTCGAAGCTAATCTCAATTCCCGAACTGCGCAATATACAAAGAATCCTTCTCCGGCACCGGTAGATAGTGCAGAGAATTTAAGGAACCAAGACCTTAGAAGAAAATATGTTTGTTAATTAGATCAAAAGTCCCGCGACGAGAATACCACATAGGTTGATTATAGCGACCGTATAAACGCTACAAGTGTATTTCTAGTACTATCATGCGCATGATCTCAGGGCAAGTGATTCGTGGCACTGGCTAAGATGCCACCCTGTCATCAGCCCCAGGGAGAGCCATAGTAGGGAATATTATTCTGTTTAAGGTCTCCAGCTTCTGATCAGCGTATCCAAGTACAGATAACGTCTGTAGAGATATATAGAACAATATCTTCATCCCAGAGCTGGAGAACTTCGCAGAATATTGCCTGGAAGAATGTTAGAGAGAGGATATGTAAGGCCACATTCTTGGCGACGGTCTGTTTTCGAACTTTTCTAATACAGGACTGGGTGAAGAACGGCAATCTAGGAGTTCTGTCTGCTTTCTCAAGATAATTGTTTCGGTGGCGTAATCAGAGGCGGCTCGGCTACTACACCACTATTTCTACGCAAATATTTAAAACCGACAAAGAAACAAAAATGTTCTATTTCTAGACAGGATTGAAGCATGGACATACTATGAGGGAATCGTGTTGGAGCGCCCCAATTGATATAACAGAGGCGGTGGGCAGTAGGGTACAGGTCCAAATTCACACTTAAACCTCCTCAGTCCTGCTTATACTTTCGGTCGAGCTATATTGATGCGAGGAGGGTTGCTTTGAATGGTCGGACTCAGAAAGCCTTTGAAGCCTTACTTTCAGGGCGGAGTAACATATTAATCCCACACTGGAAATGAGGAAACCTGCCATCTGCAATGGAGACAATTGATCATTCCAAAGGTAGCTTGATATTGACATTGTCAGCATTGCCCTTGGGATGCCACAGATAGATAGGGTCAAGGCGGATACATTCGCAATGACGAAGACGGCAGAGATATTCAAAAGCACAGCCAAGACAGCACTCCCTAACAAGGCCAACCAGCTAGTACTAAGTAGTGCGTCGATGGAGATTGTAGGCAGCTCAATCACAATTGCAAAGAAAAAGCAGAGCAATGCGGCCAAGGGTGTTAATAAGAAGAGCGAAGTGAAAGGATTCGCGTTGAGGCCGTATGGCGATAAGAGAACCTCTATCTGGACCAGGCGGATGGCTTCTGAAGCAATTGCAGCAACTTGAATGAGGATCCCAAGATAGCTCACTGCAACTTCCCCATAAGATGATAGGATAACGCCAAGACAGATTATACACGTTACAACAAGTGTTCGTGGCTGGAATTGATAAACGCCGACTAGCCATCCTACAGCAATGACAACTATAGGGCTTATTGCCTGTTTTCCCATTAGCCTTGTATTAGATAATGGGAATGGCGCCTCAGAACAACAAGTAGGTGTATCCTACCTTAAACATCTGAATAAAGGTTACACTGAGATACATGTAACTGATGTTATTCAGGATGAGGTTGAGACCAAAGAATAAACCAACAAGGACTATCCGCCCTGAATAAAATGGAGGCCCTGTCGGATAAGTTTGGGAGCTCAAGGAAATAGTTTGAGTATATGCCAATAGTCGTGCCACAGCAGATGTCATGACAAGGTGCAAAGTGGTGAGGGTGATGGGAAACGGAAAGGTGATCAGAACATGTTTATTGGTTAGTGTGATAAGAACGCTTAAAGCAACCCATGTCCTATTATATGATCAGTAAGATGGGAAAACATCGGAAATTATAACATACAGAGCACAGCTAGGACCGAGAATATTGCTTCCGAAAGTAACCACAGCCATAGTGATGACTGAGAAATGGTAGATATAAACGGTAGCCTCAATCGTTGCACACCATAAATATATAACAGCCACTCGATTTTGAAGAATCCCAAAATAGTACTGTACGCTTTTGAAACCTGTTTTCGACTAAATTTGCCTTATCTTAAACCCTCTGGTTGAGAAGGTTCTGATTACCCATTGTGGCCAAGCTCTGCGTAAGTTTTGTCCAGAGCTGTAATGTGGGTGGGCGTTAGAGGCCGTTGTGTATTAGTACAAACCTAGATAGTAGATTATGCGAACGCCTCTCGGGGCTGCTAGAGTTTCATGCGGGCCCCCACGTCCGCAAATAAATATAGTGAAGACATTCTATCTGATCCCATGGTGCGGCTAATTGTCTGAAACAACCATGTTTCAGAACGCTAAACCTTCTGTGCGGTAACCAATTTTAAGAAAAGAAAGTCACCCCCAATTTAAATTAGACACTGTGCTTAGAGAGCCACTCTAGCGCCAGGGGCTTCAGTGTTAGGCAGGTGCAATTTATGACATTAATATATAAAGAGACATTCATTGCTTTCTAATGATATCTGGTCATGCTGTTCTTAGAAGGTGGAGTTATTTTCGAGGAAACTCGTCTAAGAAAACCGAAAAATGAAACGCTTTTACTTCCTCTTCTATGTTAGCCTTTTCGGTATCATATTTACAGTTATTTGTCTTATGAAGTTCCCAATTGGTGGTTTGCCTTCCACTCTTGGGGCCGCCCAGCCAGACCACATCAAGCAGTCCCCAAACAGTACCTGGGAGGATATTCGCAATAGGACCCTTGGAGTAGGACTCTGATTTCTTAATATCTTTGAAGAGATACTGATACTTATCAGTTCCAGAAGATATACGCTATTGGCTTTCCTGAGCGGACCGACAAACATGATGCAATAACGATGGGCTCATCGATTACCGGTTTTGATATCTCGTGGGTTGATGCCGTCCATCCAGAAAGTATCCCTTTGCGTGCACGCCCACCGGTTAGTACCTGATATGGACCAACTTGACCTTACGTTGACCACAATGGCAGGGTATCGAGCGTCTCACTCCAGAGGAGGTGGGATGCTGGAGAGCGCACATGAATATCATGCAAATGTACACACACGTCAAGCTTCCTTCTGGCAAAAGTTGACGAGTTCTATAGTATCGTAGCAAATCATGTCACAACCGCGTTAATATTCGAGGATGATGCTGATTGGGATATCTTACTGAAAGATCAGCTGTCGGGCTTCGCTTATGGCGCCCAGGCTATTCAGGGCCAGACTGGTAGCGCAATCTCTCCATACGGAGATGCATGGGATATGCTCTGGCTTGGCCATTGTGGCATTAGCTCGCGTGAGGATGGGCAAACCTTCTATGTCCTCCCCAATGATCCTACCGTTAGACCCGACCACCATAAGGACGAGTTCTGGGCCCCCTCCATAGCTTCAAAACCAGAAGTACCAGCTTCATCACGGTTGGTATTCCACTCCAGCGGTGGGGCATGTACCGCAGCATATGCCATTAGCTACAATGGCGCTCAGAAAATCCTGAATGCCTTATCGATGACCCAGGTCACTCAGCCGGTTGATCTAGCGTACCAGTTGATGTGTAAGAGTCGCGAGCTCCCTAATTTTACCTGCATAGCCCCCTATCCACAGATCATAAGCAGCTGGCGACCGGCTGGGCCAAGTTACCGAGACTCGGATATCCGAACCGGCGATGATACCTGGCACGACGCGTTCTCGAAAGGCATAGTTTTCAGTACAATGTTAAATTTGAAACGAATTATAGCAGGCGAGAGCACGGTAACTGCCCAATGGACAGATGTGCAGACACGGGAGGTTAGGCTGAATGAATCGGGGATAATCAAGGGTCACTTGGTGTCTGTGGAGCCAGATAAAATGGATAAATGACCCCTGAAAGGCATTGGTCAGAATAATTAGAATAACGGAAAGTCTGTGGAGCTTAGGAATATTTGAACTGAAGCCCTGCAGTCTATTTGCAGGGGCAGAACCATCTAGTACCGAATTTGTATATGTCAACATTTATTGTATCCGGAATACACTAGCAATTCTATGGCCAAGGAAATCAATGCATGAGGGTCTCAATTCGTGAATCTCTGCCTCTATCTCACTATTAAATACTGCTCAACTTGACACGTATATCAATAGTCAAAATAGGAAAGTTGCCATATAAATAGAATCATGGAAATCGATAGAAATCATGAATCGTCATGGCGATGGCTGACTAATCGGATATAACGTAATGTAACGTATTTCCCGGGTCATCCGGCCACCCAGCCGCCCTTCTAAAATTGAAGCCATACAAAACGCCATATAATTGCATTGCTATAGAATAATGAGTAGTTCTATTGATTCGGGCAGTTTGTAATCTTATGACCCTGTACATTGTAACCAGAACACCTAGGTGGAGCGCGTCTAGGAGCTGATTCAGCTGGTAAAGTCCCATCTACCTGTATAGCTTTATCTGTATATTCTCTGCTTTCTATAAGTGCCCTTACTTCCTGAATTAATATATCTGACTCTATTTAAAGCTGCTTCTTAGAGTATTTTTACTTTTTAAGCTGCTTTTTATAAGTAGCCTGGTATTACTTAATTTAATACTTTAAAATAGTTACCTCAGCTAGAGCCTATTCAGTACCTTTTAAAATCTAATTTAAATTCAGTTTAACAGGTAAATCAGGACTTCTAGATTAATTTCTTAACAGCTTTTTTAACCTGATTTCTGATTTATTCAGCTATTTTATAGTATAAGGTATTTTAGATACTGAGCTGCCTTAACTGCTTGGTCTGCTATCTAGAGATATAGAGGTTTTAAGCTATACAGTAATTTAAGTAAGAATCTACTTAGAATTAAAAGAAACTAATCCAGTTACTTAAAAAGTACTATAGATATTGCTGCTAGTAAAGGCTTGCCTGTAAATCTTAGAATAGGCTGATAAAAAGTTTTCTTTATTAATATAATTAATTCTATAGTATGTTTTAGATTTAATTAATTTTCTGTATACCTTTTTTAGAGATGAAAAGCAGGTAATATTAAGCAATTAAAGCTTATAAGAAGTATAAGTAGATATATAGATTAGTATAATATTATTCTCTGAGCAAATCTGATTAAATTAAGATATAAAATAACTATTATAGCTATTAAGAATAAGTAGATAATATTATTCTATAGATTAACCTGTAGTAGCAGGTATAAAATAATTCTATAGCCAGTATAGGCTAATTTTATTGCTTATCTAACTATTAGAACTTATTTTAATTCTCTAATCTAATAAGATATCTTGATTCTTATACTAGGCCTCTATATACACTTTGCCTTTAAAGATAATATAAGGAGATAGAGTCTATTTATTAGAACTTATATATTCTATAGAGATAATCTATTTCTGGTTTTCTAACTATATAAAAAAAGGTTTTCCTTGTGTATCAGACCTAGTAACTACTTTAGCAGTAGCTACTAGGCCTATTATAAATCCTGTTTTATTAAAATTATAGATATTACTTGATATAATACTATACTGCTAAATAACATCATTTACTTGCTGGAACCAGGCACATAGAACCTTAGGATCTTCAGCTTTAGCACGCTGATAGTTATATCTGTATATAAAGTATATTTTCAGCTCAGGCCTGCGCCTAATAAAGATTGAAACCCAGTTTTTGCCAATAGTAGTAGGAGTAACAGTAGGATCATGCTTAGCAAGCAGAAGATTGGCTATTTCTTATATATAAGCAGGCCAAGGACTTGCTCCACATTAATCTAGAGATATAATCCACTGTATAAGCAATTCTTCTTCAGAGATACTTAATTTATAATTCTTTAAACATACTTAAGACTTAAAAGTGCTTTCTTTTAAGCGATCAGTCAATATAGAACAAGGCACATTATAAACTTCAGCAGCCTTCCGTATACTGTTAAATTGTTGGTTTTTAATAGCGGATATAGCCAGCAGGATCCTTTCTTCTTGTTCCACTAAAGATTTTGATGATTTAGGCATTTTTGGTGGTATGACTGGTTCTTGAATTGCTTCAAAATTTGAGGCGCGTACAAAACGCGTAGGGTGGCCGGGTGGCCCGGGTGGCCGGATGACCCGGGAAATACGTTAACTAATTCTAACTTATTTTAGTTTGGCGGTCCCAGCTTCTGTGATTAAGGTAGTGCTGAACCAGACTGTAGCACTAAGAGCTAATATAAAGACTAATAATACCAGAAATCCTTTAAGTACTATAAAAGCCCTGAACTGTGTCTAGCTGCTAGAAAGTCACTGTAAGGCGTATTGCTAATTGTGTCCAGCTCTAAACCCCCTGCTTTCTAGTTCTACTCTAACAGTTTATATTCCGAGAAGTTTATTCTGTTTACACTGCGCGGTGATTAAGCTGACTTAATAGGAATAGAAAGTTGCCTATATCCCACTAAAGCCATTCTATACAGCCCTGGTAGGTATTCAGTTTATAACTTTCAATCGCGGCAGTGAGGAGGTCTTAGAAACCAAGATCTATTATACTGAAATCCAATATCCATATACTGAAGAGGGAGGAGAAGTATACAAATATGAGAAAGAATAGTTAGACACTAGAGAGCCAGAGCCAAGCTTGTCAGCCCAACCTTCTCCCGGCCAAGCAACCGATTCTAATCACATCATATACCCTGATGAGTGGGAGCACATCTTATCTGGCTCCAATAGTTCTTAGTCTGAAAGGCTTGTTAGAGGAATAGAGCTAGTCAAAATCAGCACGGGTTTTTTGAGACTTATATTCGGAGGCGGGCTGGTCCAAGCTGGTCATCAATGCCATGTACCTTGTTAGGAAATCTACATAAAATCTCATGATTGTCTAACCCTATATGTTTGCGTATATACTTCACGGTGGGCTGGTTATAGTATTTGTTAATACTGCTGTGGTGAAGATATTAATTCCAGGTGTTCTGCATTTTCTGGTATTCTTTATTGATTGATGGTAATAGCTTCCTCAAGCGGTCACAGTGAAAATTGGCTTCTTTATGTTTTCATTGTGCCCACTTCCTACGGCGCTCTGGGAAATGCTATCCTACTAGTGATATATATCCTTCTTCTAACCTAGTTTCGGAGTACTGAGAATATCCTCGATGGCTGCCAAACAGCCTAGGTGTGATGACCTGTATGTCACGTGGTTAGGCAGGCGTACTTCCTAGAACATAATCCTTGTATGATAGTGGTTCTCTTCCCATAGTTGAATTTAGTTGGAAATGCTACCATATCTAGCTGTATATCGTGGAATAGCTATCTATGAATGAGTAATCATCACAATAGGGAAGCTCCTGGCCCACAAAGGATTCCAAGTTCGATATGAAACATTCATACAGAATTCGCATGGCCATGTATTCTCTACAGACTGGTGATGGTGCTATAGAAAATGGGCAATCTGATCTAGAACGAGAACGCACGCTGTCTGTACAATTTCCGTGCTATTAGCTTAGAGGCTGTATTTGTTCTAAGAAACACCTGCTGAAAACATTGACAATGGTAAAATTTAGACTCAAAACTAGCCTTTAAGAGTGAATTGGATTAATAGGTGCTCTAACATATATACATAACAATAAAGTTTAATGATGAACCATCTTTTTATGTAGTGTGTTTGGGGACAGAGTGTCGGGTTGGGGTCGCGGTGTGGTCTAGGCTTGAATGAACCTTCATGACATATTCAGTGAGTTTAGACAGGCTTGGTTCAGTTCCCAGCCTGTCCATCATCACTCGAAGACCAAATTCTGCATGTAAGTTGAGATTTTTTATGTAAATGATTTTCAACATTGCCTGTGCGCAACGAGTGTCAAGGCTTAACCATGCCCGCTTCTCCAGCTTAACAAAGCCTTGTCAGTTTAATGAGAGACTGCATTTTGCGTAAGAGACTTATTAGACAGATCTTGGCCGATCCCACTACCGGTAAAGGAGTGGCATAAGAGTGGAACAGGAAGACATGCTATTCTCATGTCATTTAGAAGATTGGGGAGTGCTTGAACAAAGAAGTTAATCGATGCACAGATACATAATGTCAGGCGCTCCATTTGCTGTAATATTTTTAGACATAATATAATTGATTATGTATGGAATTGAATCAGCCCTCAAAGTTCACTTAGTCCACATCAACTCGCGTGGTCAGATACAAGAGCCACAACACTGGTTGACAACTAAGAATTATCAATCAGCAAACTGTTACATGGATTAATTGCATAAATGAAAAATTATGACATCCCTCAGTCTAAGAGAGCGCTTTATTTCGCATAATCTATGCTTTGCATTTTCTATGCAATCTGAGAATCGGGCCTTTACGGCATATTTGTTGAGGATGGTTATAATGACAAGCTCCAGGTCTCCCCAGCGGAATATTTTCGCATCTTTGCGAATTGCAAGAGCTCTTAGGTCTTTAAGCCCCGAACCATTCGAGCAAATTGGCAGCTTTCTTTGAGATTTAGTGATTAACTGCGGGCGGAATCGAGCCAAACTTCGAAGGGCTTGGCTCCACTCTGGGTGGGAAATGTTGCGCCGGAGCAAGAATTGAAGGAGATGTATGATATCTGCGCTGGTGATGAAACACTCATCTAGGGCTGGCCAAAATATACAACTAACGTACACTGATTCAGGCATATCCTGATACACTGGTACAGGTAACATGGAGATATGGATATGATCTATGCCGCGATCAAGAGAAAGAAATCGAACGATCCGTCGTCTCTCTGCAATCTCCTCTTCGGTCCAGCTCATTGCCATTTTGGTAATAGTACAGCCCTCACCGAGAAGGTCGGGAGTTGTAGAATGTTTAGATCCCACTGCAAAAGTATGCATATCCATTGTAATAGCTGGACAAGAAAATGTAGGGTCAACTTCTTCCCCACAGGCATCCAACCTGCAGCGCTCCAGTTCGCCACTGACACCATCAGTACCAGTGGGCTTGAGGGCAGGGCGGTGTCTGCCTGGCATGGGGAAGCGTTGGCCGTTGTAACTAATGCAGCTTGATGGCTAGATATGCAGGATTCAATGTCGGTGGTCAACGGCTCGAAGAGCTCCGTGCTAACTAGTTGCTGCGCATCTGCCGATGCTTGACTTGTCAGATTTGATCCGAACTGTGTATAGTTTTTGCTGCCCTGTGGTTGGGCTTCCACTGTAAGAAAACTCTCCTACATAGATGGCAGGCGATGTATTTGGGAAAGGACCAGGGAACAAAAGCCATAATGGGACGCACACAGTGAAATACTGGGTTATGTCAGTAGTGTGGGTATAGGCACCCTGGACATAATGGTGCCCGAAATGATCAAATTCCAGATATGTCAGAGTACATTCTGACCAAAGACTCCCAAATATCAGATGGACGGAGGTGTTGTCGGACACAAGCATAGAAATGGACCGAAGACAGACAAATACCAGACTCCTTTGTGGTCCATGATCAGGGAAGAACGAGATAATCTCGGGTTGCGGCGACTCGGGTATAGGAAGTGGCCTAGACAAAGTGCAATCGCCCTCAATGAGGTTGCGTATTGTATCCCACTGAGCTTTTGTAATGCATCTGGTTGATACTCATAGGAATTCGTCTGGCCTAAAACATTCTCTTGATTCTTTTCTTCTGGTTGTGGAGTCAACTGGCCATCTCCAATAAGAGGCCAAATAGGCAACCCCTTGCTTCTTGTGAATTTAAAGGCTTACACGATGGAGCACGGGTGTGTGCTTATATTTATGGGAAAAAAACCAATAATGAAAACATTGGTACCTATTATCCATGCACCACAACTATGCTTTTTAAGGTTAAGCCGTAAGACCCAGCTCACTATCCCTTCTCTATTGCACTCAGATTCACATCTGCTTCAAGCTGTACTTATATTCTCTGCTAATCCCCTAGCAAAGAGCAATGGTATCATCTCTACAACCCTAACTTTGCTGTCTCAAGTGTTGATCAAGTTTCATGAATAGATTCCACTAAGCTTGTTATCATAAAGGATTTATCCACAGCCGGATGTCTAGATCTGCTAGAACAACTTAGCGTACTATGTGTTACATCTGGGGTGTTGTAGATGGATCGTGAAGGCAGACAAAGACGGATTAGTGGCAGCTAGGGGATTCCCAATGATTATGTATCTCTCTATATATGCTACAAGATTGTCCTACTACTTCAGGGCCTTATCCAGAGTGATACGGCTTTTTATTCTTGGTAGTTACTGTTGAATGCTGAAGTACTGACAGAAGCTGCAAAATAGCACTACAAATGTTATCAGGAAATCCAATTTAAACCTCAGTTGTATAGACATTTATCCATTAATCAGTGTGCATATTCTGAGAATGTATTCTTTGTGGATGTCGAATAACAGCCAGGGATTTAGGGTGTGAGTTCTCATGTAACTTTTAAGTGTATCAGCGAGTATTCCGTCATCAAGTGGTCTTTTCAGTATCTTAGTAAAGTTTTCCGTAAGGCTGGTGCTACTGGCTTGACTTATAGCTTCATCACGCCCTATAAATATCTGTATGGTTTTTTCAAAGTTTACAATAACTAGATCTAGTTTGACAAGTTCATAAATATCTGGCATCATCTGAGTATAGTTACCTCAGCTGTTTAGGCATATTCTATTTAAATATATTATATATCATGCTTACTGAGAGATTTAACTATTTTACTGTTTTAACTCTGTCTAGAGAATACTGACTTTAATTTAAAGTAATATCTTGTATACTTCATGTATTGATTTGATTTAGAACCAAGTATATACTAGGTATATACTGATATTGATAGTATATTTCATAGTACTATAGCTACAGTCTATGATTAGCGTGAAGAAAGTGAGCAGGTCTTTTATAGAGCTCACTGTTAAGCTTGCTCTTCAATGCCACTAGATCTGGATTGATCCTCTTGATCAACTATCTTTTATAACCAGTGCGGGGGTTGTATTTATTGCTAATAGCAGCAATATATCTGGTAGTAACTTTCTTTTTAATTATGACTTGAATATTAAGTAAATTAATCTTGCCTTAATATCTTTCCTAGATAGCATGTACCGCGGTTTTTAAGGTATTAACTATAATTAATATAAAAGATCCTCTATAGTCAGGATCTAGAGGTCATTCCATGGTTCGTGAATACTACCGCGAGAAGTTCTAACGCTGACTACACCAGTCTGGTTATAGGTTATACAAGGCCATAGACTCATTGATACCACTTGGGTGGATAGAGAGATGTTCAACAGTCCTTATCTCTAGGATGAAGATAGTGCTTTCCGAGATGACATGCGGCAGCGGTTGCCGAGTATCATAAACACCAGAACAGGGTCGCGCCCCCTTGTGCGTGGACTTAACTCGCCTGGACCCGGCAATATTGGCTGCTTGGATAACTATATACCATCTTGTGATTTTGATTTTCTCGGGCCTAGCAGTAGCAGTAGCGGAGAGAATGGCACGCCGTTTTTGAGGTCAACCTTAACTGCTGTATCCAGGGGCCTGGATCAACCGTTGTATGAACTTTCGGCTGGGGTGTTTTCAGAGAAGGAAATGGCTACAATGGCCTAATTCGCCATCCTGATCTTCTCTCCACGCTGTGCGTGAAACATGGTTCTATTAGCAGAAATAATACTCTCTTAGTCTGAGTTTTGAAGGGTTTCAGTATGCAACAGCCGGTTGCGCTGTGATAACACCATTCACTAGTATGAATAGCATGAAAGGCTTCCCTCACTGCTGATTCTGGCCAGCCAGTGAATGTTAGTCTAGATTCATCGGCCATTCCCATCACAAATCCTTTGCAGCTCCTGTTGCTCTATTATCTAGTCGCCCTCTTGTGCAGGATCAAACTAGTAAAAAGAACAACCATGCATCTGTAAATACCGAAGAATTTGGAAAGCCTTTCCAGTCGTCGTTAATAATTACTTCGACCCCACCGGAATAGAAGGCTGTAAAAGGGCCAACTATTTGGCATAGTGTTTCAGAAGAAATACATGAAATACATATAATATGCGGTAGCGGTAGATCCAGAGCTTAAGACATTGGGAAATAGGCCTATGGCCAAGCTAGTTAGTAATCCTGAAAGCCAAATTATTCCACTATCTTTCATTATACGCCTTTCCTAGCCCCAAGTTAGTTTATCATGTACAGTATCCCAGATATAGTACACCGGTGAGCCGGAATCGTTCCGCGCCATTGCATATTAACATAATTTTGTCGGTAAAATCCAGGCAGCTTGAGTGCCGATTGTACATACGAATGGGTAATTTTCGAAATACCATTCGGCCAAACGGTGTGGCGCAGCTCCACACAACGAAGGGTCAACCAAAACCTTGATCAGTTAGCGACTCTCCACTGAGTCTGAGGTTTTAAAGCTCACTGGCTCGCAAGCCAGCGGAAGCTGCCCCCACACGCTCCTCCAAAATCCCTCAAGAACATCATTTACAATTATGATCACCCATAGCAGAGCTTTGACCGGATCCCGTTGATTGATCGGTCGGTGATGTATTCCCCGGAACGCCAAGCCCAATGAAACTTGGATGCCCGGGCTAGTGAACGTACTTTTTTAAAGTAGTCAGAACAAGAAGTGGAAGTTCCGCTTAACCGTATCCTGTGCCGTTTAGTCTCTATTTGTAGTGTAGCGAACCTACTCTTCAGTGAACGCAATGCTATCCCATGAGGTCCAGTCTTATTTTCCGTTCAATTCTTGTCCAAAGGTAATTCATTTATGTCCTCTGTAGTATATCCATTTTTGATTAGACTTCCCACTAGGGAATATTCTCACCGGTGGCGATTTACTACACCGTCATATCCAGAGTCGTCCATTGGGGTGGTCCAAATACCTCTCGGGACTAGATGAGACAAGGTTGCTATTGTATGTATGTATGTATGTATGTATGTATACTATTTAACGTCACTCGGCGGATCGCGCGGCAACGTGATCCGCGGCCTCCCTAAGGGCAACTGGACGTGCTACCTAAACAAAAATCCTGCTAGGAACTAGCTAAATACATGCTTGAAAGTAACAAATCTGAACAATATATGCTGGAAAAGAGTGGAAGAAGCGCCTGGCGCTACCCTGGCCTGGTCTTCTGGAGGTGGGAACCTGCTTTAGCTACCTATAGATAGAAGGGGATGCTGTCTGCCTCTATCCAGGTAGAGATATAGACTGTTACACTATTTAGTGCTTGAGCGGGCCCAGTTCAGGCATATATCCTTGAAGAAGGATAAATTTTGCATGATACGGCTGAACTCTTCAGCCCCAGCGGCTGTACTAAGGAGCCAGTCAATTGTCTCTGACGGGCCAGCCTTTAGACATTTCCATCTATCCTTCCACTGCTTTCTGGTGTGGGGACAGAAGAAGAAGTGGACAGGAGACTTTAGCCTATTACAGGAGCAGGTTACCAGGTAGTCTAAATGGCGGCATATTTTATGGTATGCTGCAAAATCCCCATGGCCCGTACAGGCGACTATAAGCCGGCCTAGTACCCAGCAGGGAAGGTTATGTTCCTTAGCACGGCTGCTACTTGTATAGGGTCTGATATTCAGATCACAGTAGGCCTGTGGTGCAGACTCTATATATACTGTAGAAGTATCTGCACAGAGTTGCTGTTTTGCCTTCTGCCTGAGAAAAGAGGGAGAGAGAGGAATATAGAAGCTATTGATTGTTATACTCTATTTGGCAAGCTGGTCTGCTAGCTTATTCCCTGCTATACCAGAGTGACCTGGGATCCAGCGCATCTCTAGGGGCTTGTGTGGTATGTTTAGAAGGGATAATCCTTCTTTCCATTATATAGAAAGCTGGTGAAAGGTGTCTGTAACTCTGCGCCTATAGGAAGCCGGTCTGTTGTCTGCCAGGAGACTGGCTGCTGCTAGATTATTAAGTAAGATAGTTAAGCGGGTGGCATGTTTTATATATGGCTGATATATTGCGGCATTAAGGCTCTCTACTGTACCTAAAAGCTCTGTATCATAGATCTCGGTTTTGGGGCCGGCAGAACTAA